GGGCTCTGGTTTTCCTGGAATGCAGGTGATCGTGATCATAGGTTTAGGACAATGGCTGGAGACTGCTGGGCACACTTGAGGGTCCCCATAAAGCTCTGTATTTTTTTGCCCTCTGTTTCAAGGGAGCATGTGATAGGTTTTATGAAAAATTCAGGGCGAAGGGCCAGGAGTTTAGCTCAGCAGGATAAGTGCCTACCTGACAAGCATGAGGTGGTGAGTTCAATCCCTGGTACAAAAAAAGAAAAAATCGGGGCTGGGGGTTTAGCTCAGCGGCATAAGCGCCTGCCTTGCAAGCAGGCAGCCTTGCAAGCAGGCAGCCGTGAGTTTGATCCCTGGTACCGATAAAACCAAAAAAGACCAAAAAAAAAAAAAAAAAGAAAAAATCAGGGTGAATCAGTCTTGTTTTGCGACTTTTAGACAGACACTCCCCAAATGATGAACATAGCTACATGCAGAGCTGAGAAGGGATTTGACCCAAAGTTTTATGTAACAAAAAGGCTACAAAATGAAGTCAACCTTTATTCTGCTTTTAGTTACTTACTGGGCATCTATAGGCCCAAGTTCATAGAAAGATGACTTTTCAATCCCTGACTGTCCCAGAAAAAACACAAATCATACTTTTGAGGAGTAACAGGGTAAACCAGGTGTGGTGGTGCACACCTATAAGCCCAGCACTCTGAGAAGCGGAGGGAAAAAGATGGGAAGATTGGCCCCAACCTGGGCAATTTAGCAATTTAGCAAGACCCTATCTCAAAATGAAAAAAGAGAGAAAGGGTTATGGATGTAGCTCAGTGTGAATGTCTTGGCTTTAATCTTCAGCACTGCCCAAAACAAACAAAAAACAGGCTAAAAGGGCTGGGGATATGACTCAGAGGCACAGCACCTGCCTGGCAAGCTCACTATTGGGAACAGCCTAAAGCAGGGTGAGGTGCTACATACATGTAATCCCAGCACTCAGGAGACAGAGGCAGAAAGATCTCCTCCAGTTCAAGGCCAGTTTTGGCTACATAGCAAGACCCTGTCTTCCCAGACCCAGATACCTGCTTATCCCAACCCTATACTGGTCTCTGACTACATCAGATCCCAGTCTTGAGCATCTGGTTGTCATCCAGAAAGAACACAGAAAAGAAATAAGCCAGGTGCAGTGGCACATGCCTATAGTCCCAGCTGCTTAAGCAGGAGGATTGCAAATTCAAAGCCAGCCTCTCCAATTTAGTGAGACTGACACAAAATAAAATCTTTAGCAAGATGTGGTGGCACATGCCTATAATCCAAGCATTCAGGAGGCAAAAAAAAAAAAGTAAAATAATAAAATAAAAATGTTAAGCAAGGTATTGTGTTGCATACCTGTAATCCAACTTGTGAGACTGACACAGGAGGATTGTCAACAACAGTTCAAGGGCAGCCTACGTGACATAGTGAGACTTTGCCCCCAAATAAATAGATAAAGGACTGGGGCTGTAGCTCACCAACAGAGCATTTGCCTAGCATGAGTGAAGCCCTAGGTCCAATCCCTAGCACTAGGGGAAAACAGTTTCTATTTGTCTTCTTTGAGAGCGAGTCTCACTATGCAGTTCAGGTTGGCCTTGAGTTCCCTTTGTAGCCCAGGCTGGTCCTGATCCTCCCACCTCAGCGCCCCCCCCCCCCGCCCCAATGCTGGGATTACAGGCGTGAGCCAACATGCTCGGCTAGAGAAAAACAAGTTTTGAAAGAAAGTAATGAAAGAAAAAGAAGCACAGTTGAAAACTGTGTTCTACTCAGGTTGGGTAGGCAGGGTGCAGGGTTGAGCACAGGCTAGGGATCAGCAGAACAGCTTCCAGGGTTTCCTGCAGGCTTGATCAGTTTCCTAATCCTTGAGGTTCCTTCGGTGTTCTCATCTGTACAATTGGAGCAATTGTTTCAACCTTTCAGGTGTGTGGTGTGGACACACTTAGACGAGCCCCTGGTGGGGCTGGAGATTTAGCTCAGTAGCATAAGCGCCTGCCTTACAAGCAGGCAGTTGTGAGTTCGATTCCCGGTACCGATAAAAAGGAAAAAGACAAAAAAAAAAAAAAAAAAAAGAGCCCCCCGTGTGTTTTATTGCATGGTAAATATTCACTGTGGTCCTTACCAGCTCTAATCTCGGTGCCAGGTTGTTAGCTGTGAGCCGCTGGGGCCACAGCAACCTGGTGGAACAGGCACTCCCACCATACCCTCCAAAAGAAAGGGCTGAAGGGGTGGCTCAGAGTGCCCCCTTCCATGGGGAAAGATCTGATGTCTCTGGCCCCCATTATTCTGCCCATCTCCTTGGAGTGCATGGGATTTGTGGGTGGAGAAGTCACAGAATCTGAGGGGGTCCCTGGAGTGTCAAGGATGACTCAGGTCCAATGGCCTGAAGCAGCCAGAGGGGCAAAGATGCCACCCGGAGGTCAGGCCAGTTTTGGGGTACAAGGAGATCTGGAGAGAGACCAGGAGCTCAGTGTGAGATTCGAATCAGACACCCAGGTGCTGTCACTGCTTTAGGGGTGGAGGGCAATTCGAGATGTGGCTGGAGACGACTGGGAGCCACCACAGCCGGGGGAGCTCTTGAGGGCCAGTGGGGGAGAGGACTATGGAAGGCACCCTGCTCTGCTGGACAGATGAGGGGCACCAGGGCACTAGTGCACCAGGCACTGTGTCAGGGGTTCAGGAGGCAAGGGAAGAAACCCTGGGCCCACGCAGCTAGGACTGGCGCTGTAGTTCAAGGGGAAGAGCACTTGCCTAGCATGCAGGCCTTGGGTTCCACCCTCAGCACTGAAAACAATAAAAAGCAAAAGGAGGCCAGGTGTGGCGGTACAGGTCTGTAATCCATAGGAGGCCGAGGTGACAGAGGATCACAGAGAATTCAAAGCCAGCCTGAACTACATAGTGAGACCCTGTCTCAAAAACAAAACAAAATGTACCAATGAAGGGGCAGGTTGCTCTTCAGAACACTAGTCTAGCAGGGTATGGTGTCACATGTCTGTAATCCCAGCACTAAGGAGGCTGAAGCAGGAGGATTGCTGCAAGTTTGAAGCCAGCCTGGGTTTACAAAGTAAGCTCCAGGCCAGCCTGAACTGCAGAGTGAAACCCTGTCTCAAAACAACAACAAAAGAATGCTGGTCCATGGGGCACTCCCCTTTGGGGACTTTCTCTCTCCACACCGAGGTCCATAGTTGGCTAGGTGGCACCAATGTGCCTGCACCACCTAGCTGCCTATCTCTCCTGGGGTCAAGGCCACTGCCATTCCCACCATGGCCTTCCAGGTTTTCTAGGCCCAGATGAGGAGGGACTAGCAGGGGCCACACTGTTGTGTACAGTGCATCTTCCAGGTCCCTGTATTGTGAGCACTTCAGGCTCTCTCTTCCCATTCAGGCCCATTTTTCCGCTAGCGCTGCTGACTTTCAATGTCTGTGCACAGAAGCTCCTTAAAGCTTCTGAATTCTGGTCATTATCTTGGATGTTCTTTTCCAGTGTACCCATTAAACGCACTCAGTTTTAGTGCTGGGCTGAGCCTGGGCTCCGCACCCGAGCTGTACCCAACCCAGCTTTACACCTTTGGAGGTTTGTCACCTCTACCTAGGCTATGAAGTGAACGTTTGTGTCTCCTTCAAATGGGAATGGAAAATGCTTGTAACCCTAACATTTGGGAGGCTGAGGCAGGAAGATCATGAGTTCAAAAGACTGTCTCAAAAACACCAAAAAAACGTTGAAAATCTAAATCATATGATGACTAGGATGTGGGAGATTTGGGAGGTGATTAAATCATGAATGTTGAGCTCTCCTGAGGAGGGTCGGTGTCCTTATAGAACCCCAAGCCAGGCATGGCAGCACACGCTTGTGATCCCAGCATTCTAGGAGATGAAGGCAAGAGGATCACAAATTCAAGCCTAGCCCAGGCAAATTAGCATCTGGGGGAAGAGTTTATCTCGAAATAGTTTTAATGGGGCTGGGGATTTAGCTCAGCGGCATAAGCACCTGCCTTGCAAGCAGGCAGTCGTGAGTTCGATCCCCGGTACCGATAAAAATGAAAAAGACAAAAAAAAAAAAAAAAAAAAAGAAAAGAAATAGTTTTAAAAAGTCCAGTGTGTGGGGCTGGGAATTTAGCTCAGTAGCATAAGCGCCTGCCTTGCAAGCACATGGTTGCGAGTTCGATCCCTCCTACCGATTTAAAAAAAAAAAAAAAAAAAAGCCCAGTGTAGTGGTGCATGCCTATAATCCTGGTGCTCAGGAGGCTGAAGCAGGAGGATCACTGAGTTTAAGAACATCCTGGACTAGATGGTTGAAATCCTGCTCAAATAGCCAGAATGATGATGATGACAGGAGACGTAGTTGAGCGCAAAAGCTTTTTTGCAACTCGTAAATACTGTTCCGATTGATGACTGCAGTGTCAGCAGCACGATATTAAACTTTGAACAGGCTGCTGTCATATTAGCCATGATAAACCCTTCGCTCAAAGCCTTCCTGTCCTCTTTATTCCTGGAGCAAGAGGTATTCCTAAAACATTTTAATCAAATGAGTCACAATCATAACACAAGCTCAGTTCTAGTATTTGTCATCCTGCTTAGCAAAGCCTCTGGTGTTGAGGGGAGGTAAAGATAGGCAACAGCTTTGTAGCCTCCATCCTGGACTTCCAGGACTGAATGTCCATTAACCCCACCTACTACGTGGCCATGGTCTGCACTAGGTCGTCTCCCAGGAGGCGTTTATAACCGATTTAAGAAGCCTGGAGGGGACGCCGAGGACTGCCACTGCGCGAGGAAGGCGCGGTACATGGAACATGACCACCAGGGGGCGCTGCTACTATCCACTTACCTACTGTGGGCCAAGTGCTGTTGTAGACACAAAAGCATAATTCTCAGGTGCTCTAAGCACTGCTGGCAGGCAGACATCTAAATGACCGCGAGAAAGGGAACTTGAGTGCTTCGGGATGGCAAAGCGGGACCTCGGGCCTGCAGGGGAACCCTGGGGGTGTGAGGACAGGAAAAGAGAGAGAGCAGGCAACCGGGGCAGAGCCTTGCTTTTATTCTGAGGACTAAGGAGAGACTGTAAATGTGAGGGCACAACCACCTCCAAGGTGGATTGTGAAATGACAAAGGCAAGGTGTGCTCGGGGAGGCTGAGGCAGGAGGATCCCAAGTTTGAGCCCAGCCTGGGCAGTGTAGCTCTTAGTGAGAACCTGGAGAGCTGGAGAGACAGTTTAATACGAGGCTCTGGGTTCAGTCGCCAGTTTTGGGGATGGGGGAGATTGTAAACTCTGCTATGTGGCACAGAAAGTGGGGACAGGTCATAGATTCCTACTCACTCTACTCACAGGGGTTTGCAGACACTGGAACCATGCTAAGAAATGCATGACAACCTTGACCTCTGAGGGGAAGAGGAACAGGAAAGGACATGCATGGAGACTGTGGGAGGGGAGTGTGATAAGCGTCATTGGGCTGCCACATGGGTCATAGACCACAGGCCATGGGAGGAGATGGACTGGAGCGGATAGCCATGGCCACGGTGTGGGGGCGGGGCAGGGCCCTCACATCTTCTGGGGCCTTTTCCACATCAGGGCCTGCAAAGGACATCTTGCAGGCCAAGGATGGTACGGAAGGAGGGCTGACCCCTCTGAGCAAAGATAAGGCTGACTAGCTTGGTACCTGCCTGGCCCTGGTCTGTGCCATGTGACTTTAACCCCAGCCCTCCAGGAGGCAGGGACAATTCCAGTCATCTCCATCCTACAAAAGTACACACTGAGCCACAGAGGCAAGTGACTTATTCAAGATCACACAGCTAGAAAATAATAATCTGAATCTAGACAGAAACGTCAGAGACCGTGTGGGTTTTGTTGTTGTTGTTGTTTTGTTTTTGAGTCAGGGTCTCCCCACGTAGTCCAGGCTGACTTCAAACTCATGGTGATCCTCTTGCCTCAGCCCACCAAGTACTGGCCAGCTGTGCTCTTAACCTTTATGGTATGCTGCTTCCCAATCCTCTTGCCGCAGCCTTGTTCTCAATCACTTCTATGCCTTTTTTTTTTTTTTTTGTCTTTCTCCTTTTTTTATAGGTACCGGGGATCGAACTCACAACTGCCTGCTTGCAGGGCAGACGCTTATGCTGCTGAGCTAAATCCCCAGCCCCACTTCTATGCCTTTTTAGACAGGATAGCTTTGAGGACTGTGAGCAGTCACTAACACCTCGGGATGAGTTAGCCAATTTGCTCATACCACTAAAAATAAGAACTGCTTTGGCACTTAGGGGACACCAGCTTGTGGGAGTTAAATAGTTGGGCTCTGGAGTCATGATGTCTGGGATTGAAGCCCAGAACTGCCCTTTCCCAGCTGCATGTATGAGGGCAGGCACATCACTGAAGTGAACCTCAGTTTCCTCATCTGCAATGTTCCTGTTTTCCAGTGGCCTAGTACACCGCACACCCAGGACCTCCAGACCTGGAATTGAGCACACTGCTGCCCTCACAGCAAGGAGGAGGAACCAAAACCAGGTTCTGGGAGAGGAAGTAGCGTTTCATGGCCCCAAGTTGGGGCTTTGGGACAGGAGCCCCCAAGTGACAGGAGGTAGCAAATGACTCACTCACCCTGCACAGGGACAAGGCCACCTGGCGGCTGGGCCTGCTGGGTCCCTCACACTCTCTTTCCTTCCTGCAGAGCTCGGTGCTCCGGAGTGCCGACCCCAGTGGGGCTGCTAGAGGCTCCTCAGAAGGCAGATGGGACAGCACCCTGCCCAGGTCTGACTGGGGCCCCAGACACCCAGACCCGCTGTTAAAATGTGTTAAGCAGCCACTGACAGTTTCTGAGCCCAGCTCCCCATCAGGCCCCAGCAGGAGGGATTATTCAATCCCTGCGCTGAGTAAGGGACCTCCTTGACCCAGCTCTAGGGGATGCTGTCCATGTCCATCCTAACTGGAGGAAGTTCCTGCTAACATCTGGTATTTTCCCTGGCTCAGCCCTAGGTCAAACCCTCCACCCCCAAGTTCTGAGTCCCCAGACATAGGTGGCACCAACTGAAGCCAAATCCCAAGCATTCTCCAGGGCCCCACCTCAGATGGCTTCCTTCAGGAGGCCCTGGATTTCTTCACCAGGCCAGGAGGAAGGGCTCCTGGCACCTGCCAAGTCCTTTGCACCATCCAGCACATCTGGCTGAGTCCTCCGAGTGATCCCTTCTCTCCTCCAGGTGCAGGCTCCACAAGGCTCCTTTCTACTCCCCTTTATGATCTTTTTTTTTTTTTTTTTTTTTTTGTCTTTTTCCTTTTTATCGGTACCAGGGATCGAACTCACGACTGCCTGCTTCCAAGGCAGGTGCTTATGCCGCTGAGCTAAATCCCCAGCCCTTATGATCTTAATTACAATCACCACACCAAGGACACAACGGCAGACTGATAACCTTAATGTGTGACCTGGTTAGTTTGCACTGCCCCCAGCCCATGGCATGGGCTCATGTCATTCCCCAGTATACTGCCCACAGGGGCCCTGCTGACTAGGACTGTGTAGGGCGGGGGAGGGGGACAGGATGTGAGTCCCACCCTGAGAAGGCCGTTGCAGGGTCAGCAGGGCAGTTCTCACGCTCTTGCTGCCAGAGATGGAGGAGAACTATTCTCCATCTGTTGAGGATGCAGGAGAGGGAGGCTAGGGGCTCAGGGAAGTCCTGGGTGGCCAGGGACAGGAAAACCAGGCACTCGGGTCACTGTTACAGACCATTAAATACAACGCATACACAGGCCAGGGGCTGGGGAGAGCCGAGGGTCACAGAGGCCACAGCGGTCAGGGGGCGCCGTCCAGGCCTGGTCCTATCGGGGACTCAGGCTGCTGTCATCAGAGGGACTGGGCTGGGGGAGGCCAGGCTGCTTGTGGAGGCCCCGCAACTTTGCCAGCAGCTCCTGGACGAAGTCCTGAGGACAGGATGAGTGCTGAGAACACAGGGAGGGGGGGCCCCAGTCCCTCTGCCCCCCCCCTCCTGCTGCTTTGGGATTATGGGAGGGATGTGGAGTTAGGGAAGGATTTGGGGAGAACGAGAGAGTAAAGTAGAAGAGACAGGGCAAGAAAGAGATGGACACTGGGTGTGGTGGTGCATGCCTGTATACCCAGCACTCTGAGAGGCTAAGGCAGGAATATTCGCTAGAGTTTGAGACCCTTCTGGGCTATATAGTGAGTTTAAGACCAGCCTGCACTACACAGGGAGTTTTTATCTCAAAAGCAGTAAAAAAGGAAGAAAAAAGCAGACAGACACACACAGACATCTAAATGCATAGGGACAAGAGACACAGGGACACGGGAAGAAAGATGCTTCTCAAGCCAGGAGGTGATCAAGAGGGTCCCCAGAGACAGGCCTGAGACAGCTCCAAGGCAAACTGACACACAATGACGTTTGTCCCTCAGGCAGCCCAGAGCTGGTTGGAGAAACATGAATATTTTTCCCTTTTAAAGCAGGGAAGGAAGTGGGAGGGGTTGGGTGGCCTAGCTTCAGGGCTGGAGGATGGGCCCCCCAAGAGGTGGGGCAGGGAGCCCAGCAGAGGGAGGGTAGTGGGGGCAGGGGCAGAGAGAAAGGGGAGGCCACAGGGCAGCGTGGGAGAGGCAGGCACAGGAGCAGATGGGGAAGTGGCTTGGAGCGAGCTGTCATGGAGCCCTTGCAGCAGATGGGGGAGAGAGGAGAGGAGGAGGAGGAAGACAAAGGACATCTCTGGGGAGCAGAGGAGAGCTGCTGGGGGCCATGGCCAGCCTCCCTCCTCCATGCGGGCAGATCAACTCACCTCTGTGGGGTTCGTGCATGACGTCAGGAGCCCCTACACCCCCAGGAAAACAGTAAATGGTTAAGCCCTGGACCCTTCTATCCACTCTTCTCCCCTCCCTCCCTGCCTCCTTGCTGCAACACAGGGGAATAATTCTTGAGCCCAGGGCCTTTGCAGTGAGCTACATCCCCAGCCCTTTTTACTTTCATTTTGACATAGGGTTTCACTAAGTCCCTAAATTGCCCATTCTGAGCTCAAACTTGGGATTCTCTGGTCTCAGCCTCTCAAGAGTGCGGGGTGTATTGCCACCCCTGCTCTTTCCTTTCCCAACAAACCCCAAAGGCAGTAAAATAAATGGAAGTTGGACCCCACAGACTTCAAGAAAAGCAGACGTCTGCAGCCCTCACAGAGTGAACTTGGGGGGAGTTGAGTCAACAGGTCCCTACGTGAGGAAGTCATATGTGTACTATCCCCTGGAAGGGCAGAGGCTATAAGGAAAGGGCTCAGCACCCCCACTGGCTAAGTTTGCATCAAAGCTCTTCTCTGGCTGAGCTACGTGATCCTTGGCAGATGATTCAACCTCTCTGGGCCTCATTTTCCTTATCTGGAAAATAGACATAATAATTGTGCCTACTTTATTGGTTTGGTGGGAAACGGAAGAGTCACTAAGTGGAATGGAGTGTGGTGGCCCAGGCCTGTAATCCCAGTACTCGGGAGGCTGAGGCAGGATTGCATCAAGTCTGAGGGCAGCCTGGGCTACACAGTGAGACTCAAAAAACAAAACAATACAGAAAAGAAGAGTTACTAAGTGTACAGAAATTGAGCCACTGTCTGGTGCAGTTAAGTGTTCCTAGCCTTGTTAACTCTGGCTCTTTGGGGTAACACCAGGTGGAGGAGTAGGAGTGCCTTTCACTCAGCTACCTGGATCTTCCGGGTTCTGTCCTCTTCACTCTCCAACTCCAGCAGCTCATCAATGTTGACCTCATCAGGCATATCTGCCTCCTGCAGGGAGAGAGAGGGCTGCTCAGGGTCCCTTCCTCTCCTTCCCTGGCCTTTGTCCAGGACTTTGGAGGGGCCCCATGGCTCCCAGAGCCCAGCTGGCAGATTCTGGAGCAGTAATGTGGCAGTCAGGGACAGCACCGCCAAGGCGGGACATCTGGGTGCTAGGGGGAGGGGTGACAGATGGGTCAATGGAAGCCGGGGCCCTGTACCAGCCCGATGCCTGGGCCCAAACGCCCCGGGAACCCTGGGGTTGGCACTGGTCTCTCCCCTTGGCTGCAGTTCCCACCAGGGAAAGCAGGCCTGGTCGAATCTTGGAATGTCAGCTTCTGAGATGCAGGAGAGGGGCTGGCTTCTGCCCTTTCAAGGCAAAGTCTCAGCACTAGGTGGAGGAGGAGGGGAGACTGCTGGGCGGGCCCCTTCCTCCAGGGAACAAGAAGAGGGTAGGGTTCTTGGGGGACAGCTCCAGCTGGAGGGTGATGACCACCCATGACCCCCAAGGTGGTGGACAGGATGAGTCATACATCTGTCCCTGAGTGATCAAACATCAAGGACTGTGCAGAGCTTGGCCTCTTGGGGCAGCAGCCCAAAAGACAGCTGGCTTAGCACCCCTGACAGGGATAGGACCCAGCTGTCCTAGAGCCCTGTGACTAGTCAGGTCCCCATAAAGTCCTGCTCTCCAAGTTTGGGGGGGCATTATGTGTGTTGAGGAAGGTTCAGCAAAGTCCTGGGGTTTCTGTAAGTGTGTCACATGCCTGTCTGAGTCTTGGCCAGAGCCTGAAACACATGGAAAGTCCAGTGTTAGGTATGGGCCAGAGGTATGCATCATCTGGTGGCTTCCATAGGGCTGCCTATGGTACCCATTAAATATGGCACAAACTTCTATCAGGTGCATGTGCCTGTTCACTATATATGAGCTCAAGTGTGTGTCTGAGAACAGAAAGCCTTTTTTTTTTTTTTTTTACTTGCAATGATTCTCCTGCCTCAGCCTCCCAAGTGCTGGATTACAGTCATGAGCCACCACGTCCAGCCAGAAGGACTTTATGTCACTATGGGCGGCACCATCATTGTGCTCAGAAGGTTCCTGTGGTAGTACACACCTGGAATTCCAGCACCCCGTGGGGACTGAGACAGGAGGATTCCAAGTTTGAGCCCAGCATGGGCAACTGAACGGCTTGGTGAGACCCTGTTTCAAAATACCACCAGCTCCGTGGAAGGTGCGTCTGTGTATGTACGGATTGCTCTGTCCGCCAGATACTTGGCTGTGTTAGAGATAGATAGATAAATAGATAGATAGATAGATAGATAGAAGATAGATGTTGCAGGAAGTGTGACCTCTATCAAAGATCCAAGTGGCAAAGCACCCATGTCTGCCTGTGACCGATGAGCCAACATATGTAACTGCGGCTTAAGCTCTATGTGCCGAGGGCAGCTGCAGTTGCTCCCACTTTGTTACCATGCACACCTTGAGTTTTTGCATTTTTCTGTAGTTGTAACTGCTGTTGATTTATACCTGGGGTTGGCTGTGCCATCTGTCATTGGATTTGCTGGTAGCTGAGACGTTTTTCTTGAGAAGGTAAATGGATGGTCCTGTGTAACCTGAGTTGCTCTGTGACCCCGGCAGGCAAACTACGGGAGTTTGTCTTGTCCGTGTGTTGCCACAGCTTGTACTGATACATATCTCTGAACAGCTGTAACTTGAGTTATCTTGTGTAGTTGTCTAGTGTAGAGCATATCGCTGTGGCCTGTGCTATTGTGTCCTCGGGGTGGCCTGATGGCTATAGCATTTACGGGCCCATAAATGCCCACAGCTTGTGAGTTTGTGTGGGGCTGTGGCTGTCAATGGCTGTAACGTGTCACTGTGGACATCGATGTACACTGTTGTTTCCTTTGCTGCGTGTCTCTTGTGCTCCTATCTCCCATCACTGTGCGTGGCTTTCACACACCCCTTTTGTATGGAGGCCCAGCCTCCACACCTACCATACATTGCCCAGACCCTTACGGGGGAATTGCACGGTGTCTGGAGACTCAAGTGTGCGTGTGTGTCTGTGCCGTGGAGCAGAGACTACCAAGACGATGCACGTCTGTCTTGTACAAAAGAGGATGCATGTGCACCAGCGCCCAGCCCGGACTGTTCTCTGCTCCTCCCGACGCCGTCCAGCCCCCAGCCCTCAGGGTCTCACCCTGCCACGGTACAGCTCCTCCAGGCGCCCGTCGATCCACTTCTCCACGTCCAGTCGCCGCTGCAATTCCCGCCGGTCGTACTTGACGGTGACGCGCGCGTGGCGTTTCTGCAGCCCCCCGGGGCTGCCCCCTGGCCCGCGGGCCCGCGATGGGGACTGTAGCTTGTTCAGCACTCGCTTGCCCAACCGCTGCGCTGCCATCGCGGAGCCGCCGGCGGCACGGTGTGCCGCTAGCGGAGCCGCAGCTCCTCTGACTGCCGAACGGGGCGGGGCGGGGCGGGCGGGGCGGGGCGAGGCGGGGCTCGCTCTCAGGGAGGGTTGGTCCGCCCCCGCCGCCCAGACTTAGTTTCTCTGCACGTAACGTTGAAGCCAGGCCACAGTGTGGGTCAGAAAGCCGCAGTCCTGCCCACTTCGTGCATGGAAGGTCTGAAAGAACAGCTGGTCCGGAGGTGTAGCGCCTCCTACCCACGGTTTGCATTCCAGGGGCGAGGTCCCGGGCGGCTCTAGAGGACCTGGCCTGTCCACGCCCTCTGGTGGCTGCGGGGGACCGTGGTTCCAGCTGGGCCGCCCTGGCTGCAAGCGGTCGCATCTGGAGTGCTCTGCAGCACCCCCACTCGGTGCTGGAGATGGAACCTTGGGTCCCCTATATGCTAAGCAAGCACTCTAACTCTGTCCTACCACCCAGCCATGAACCTACATGTGTGTGTGATGTGTTACTGGGGACTGAACTCTGGACCTTTTTTACTGGGTTACACTTCCACTCTTTTTATTTTGATACAGGGTCTCAACTAAGCTGCTAAATTCCCCAGGCTGTTTTTAAATTTACAGTCCTCCTACCTCAACCTCCCAGAGTGCTGGAATTACAGGCGTTGAACTGCCATACCTGGCTTCTCAACTGTCTTTTTTTTTTTTTTTTTTTTTTCTGGGTGGTTCATCCACTCCTTCACGCACTCATCCATTCATCAATCTTATTCATTCGCCTTGTGAACAAATAGTTACTGAGGGACTGGGAATTTAGCTCAGTGGCACCAGCGCCTGCCTGGGATGTGTGAGATCATGAGTTTGATCCTCAGTACCAAAAAAGAAGAAGAAGAAGAAAGACAAAGAAAAAAAAAGTTACTGAGCACCTGTTTTGCACCTGACCCCGATCTGGAGACCAGGGAGCGAGCAATCAGAAACATATCCAAGGCTAGGGAATTTAGCTCATGGGCTGGGGATTTAGCTCACTGGCACAAGCACCTGACTGCCTGGCAAGTGTGAGGTCGGGAGTTCGACCCCTATGACAAAAAAAAAAAGGGGGAAAAAAAGCATCCAGTCCAGTCTTGTGGAGTTTTCACTGAGATGGAGAGAATATAACAGTATAGGATGTTATACATACTTTATTATAGCACGGTAACTTCTGTGGAAAACTACAAGACCTCATAGGAGAGAAACACAGTAACTGTGATGTCATATGTTTGTTTGTGAAAGGCCTCCTGTGTAGTCTGGGCTGGCCTTGAAGTCACTATGTAGCTCAGGCTGACCTAAACTCTCAGCGGGTCCTGTTGCTTCAGCCTCCTAAATGGTGCCATTACAGGGGTGTGCTATCATGCCAGTTTAAATTTAATTTTAAATTTAATTTTGAGAAAGGGCCTCACTAAATTGCTGGGGGGGGGTTGAAATTATTATGTGTTAAGTATTATTAAGTAATTAACAATATTTGTTATTATTAGGTTTGTTTGTTTTGGGACAGGGTCTCAGTATACAGTTCAGGCCGGCCTTGAGCTCACTCTGAACCCAGGCTGGTCTCGAACTTGCAAGGATCCTTCTGCCTCAGCCTCCTGAGTGCTGGATGACAGGTGTGCGCCACACCTGGCAGCTATTAGGTTTTTTGAGACAGGGTCTCACTGTTTATATTTCAGGCTGGCCTCAAACTATGTAACTCATCTGGCCTTGAACTTACAGCCATGCTACTGTCTCAGCTTCCTGAGTGTTGGGATTACAGGCGTATGATCAAATTTATGATCTTCCTGTCTCAGCTTCCTAAACACTGTATCTGGGAAGCCAGGTGTGGTGGTGCAGGCCTACAATCCCAGAATTTGGGAGACTGAGACAAAAGGAGCACCATGAGTTTGAGCCCATGCTGTCAAGGGAGTGGCTGAAACTGGAGTTCCATCATAGGTCTGGGGCCAGTGGGAGAACAATGTGCACCTGAGGCAAACCATGTGAACAAGCTGCCCTACCCAGCGAACTCCAAGCCCCAAGACCATCCTGAGCAATGGGTCGCAATGCAAAGGGGCACCGCATGACCTTGCTAAATGTATTAATGCTCTACAGTGCTTGAGCAGTTCCTTTCCTCTCATCAGGTAAAAGGGCTCCACCTCATCCCAGTTTCCCGTGTCTTTCTTTACTTTGTCACCGCCCTTCACAGTCCTTACCCAAGGAAGCAGCAATCCTGTGCTACATAAGAGAGCTCAAGGCTGGCCTAAACTACATAATGAGACCCTTTTTGAAAAAACAAAATAAAACAAATATGGTAGCCCCCAGCTGGTCTTGAATTTGCAATGATCGACCTGCCTCAACCTCCCAAGTGCTGGGATTGCAGGTGTGTGCCACCACGCCCAGATAAAATTGACTTAAGTTTTTTTGGGGGGGGCAGTAGGGGGGATCGAACTCATGACTGGATGCTTGCATGACAGGTACTTATGCCACTGAGCTAAATCTTTGGCCCTCCCCATTTTTTCCATCTTCTTTGCATTGCATTGCTAGGAATTGAATCCAAAGCCTGCACACTGAACTACATCCCAGTTCTTGTTTTAATTTTGAGATAAAGTCTCCCTAAATTGTCCAGACTGTGCTCAAACTTGTGATCCTCCTGCCCCAGCCTCCTACAGTTCTGGGACTACACTGCCATGCCTGGCTAGAAGTGTGGCATTTTTATTTGCTAAGTGCAAATTTTCATTGTTCATGAAATATTTTATGAAATGAATAATATCTCTTGAATTAAAATGACAGGAAGCCATTTTTTTTTTTTTTTTTTTTATCAGTACCAGGGATCAAGCTCATGGCCACATGCTTACAAGGCAAGTGCTTATGCCACTGAGCTAAATCCCCAGCCCCTAAAAGGCCACTGTTTTAGCCAAAACTCCAGCTCTGGGCTGCAACAACCTGACTGGAAGCCCAATGGAGCCAGGTGTGTGGTTCCACAAAGGTGAGTCTCTTGTTACTCTGGGAACCTTTATGTGATTTTTAGAGACATCACAATTAGATTATGGCCACATTTTCCAAATAGTTCCAATTAAAACAATAACGAGTTAATCCCAATACAAAATAACCAGAAATAGGGGCTGAGGATTTAGCTCAGCGGCATAAGCGCCTGCCTTGCAAGCAGGCAGTTGTGAGTTCGATCCCTGGTACTGATAAAAACGAAAAAGACCAAAAAAAAAAAAAAAAAAAAAAAAACCACCAGAAATAATAAAACGTTGAGCATTCTTTGAGCATCATTTGCATTTTCCAATCATGCTATCTTCCTGACTCACCTAATAAACTGAAATTACCAACCCAGTTTTTTGCTCTGTTGTTTGTGCTTTCTTCAGCCTTTCTCTGTCTGTAAAACTAAGCTCTTTTTCTCAGCTCATTGAAATGCTTATTCTTTTTATGGGATGAAATGTTGTCCAGTGAATTAAAAATAAATGACAATGATTTTTAAGGCTGGGTATGGTGGCACAGGCCTGTAATCCCAGAACTCCTGGGAGGCTGAGGCAGGAGGATCACAAATTTGAGCCCAGACTGGGCAATTGAGTGACTAAGAGAGACCCTAGGTTAAAAGTAAAAAAGGGTTGGGGTGTAGCTTAGTCTTGCTATGTTCAGGATGGCCTTGAACTCTTAGCAATCCTCATGCCTGCCACAATGCTGGGATTACAGGCCCGAGCCACCATACCTGTCTACAATCTCTATTACAAAAAAAAAAAAAAAAAAAATCTATTCGTTGTAATTTTATCCTTTATTTTGTGGATCTCACATTTAGAGGGTCTCACTATGCAGTTCAGGCTGGCCTTAAGCTCACTTTATAGTCCAGGCTGGTCTTAAACTCACAAGGATCTTCCTGCCTCAGCCTCCGGAGTGCTGGGATTATGGGCGTGCAGCACCATGCCCGGCTTGGTATTTTTTTTTGGTACATTTATTCTTGAAAACAATTTCTGGTAGAAACAAGGGATATTTAAATAAAGTGCTCAGTTCAATCCCCGGTACCAAAAAAATGAATGAAGTGCCCCCTCCCAGTGTCAAATGTACCAGCTCTGCTCAGATGACAGTGAGTTCTGGCAGACAGGCTTTGTAGACTGTTGTATATTCTTCAGCATCTTCAGTAGTGCCTGGCTTGGAGAGCTGCTAAGTGAATGGGGTGCAAGAGCAGCTGGCTTGAGGAGGCAGTGAGTGGACAGGCCCTGGCTTTGTCTCCAGCCTCCACCTTCTACCACTTGCTCCAGCCAGGGGTGGTGGGGTAGGGATGGGGCAGTTCAAATGAGAGGGGGAAACCCTGGCTTCGCCATTGCCCATCACCCTTAGAGCCCCCACTACAGGGTGAGAGAGGCAAGCGTACAGACCTAGCAGAAACCCTTAAGTGTACAAAGTAAATCTCATGCTGATAACATACATAACTACGAAGTGAGGCTGATTAGTGGAAGCCGTCCTGCCTCTAGCACAAACACACTAAAATCTCTGCTGCATTCAGATCTTTGCATCCATGGTTCCTGTTGTAGCTTAGCATAACTGACACCATCTTGAGCCCTGCATTTAACTAGCACCCTGTATTTGACCCAGGAAAATGGAAAATTACTCAGGGTACAAGTCCCATGAGAAAAGCAAAATGAATTGTACCCAAAAGAGAAAAATTAACCTGTTCAACAAAGAAGCAGGATACAGGTGCCAACCAAAAATTAATGTAAGATTCTAACTAAATTGTTTCCAACAGGATGTCTTTTCGGGGTTTTCCGTTTAAAAGCTTTGTAGTTTTCCAGTTCAGGGCCACTCAGTGAGACTCTGAAATGGGTACACAAGAGTGGTTGCTGGGCTCAGCTAATTAAATTCCAAATTTACCTATTTGGCTATTTGGATTCTTATATTGTTTAGGAACCCACCTCAGTTCCTTATTTATTTATATACTTATTTAGGTGCTGGAGGTTAAACCCTGGGCCTTTGTACTTAGTTTAGCACACCTCCAACAACGGACTAAATTGCCTAGAATGGTCTTCAATTTGTGATCTTTAGGCTGGGGATTTAGCTCAGGCATAAACCACCACACTTGGCTACCACTGTTTTTTGTTTGTCTGTTTGGTACCGGAAATCTAACTCAGGATCTTAAGCTTGCCAGGTAGGCTCTTGTGCCCCTGAGCTATATCCCCGCCCGCCCACTGTTTTCAGTAATGAGGACTTTAATCACCCAGTTGACTGCTATTCATTCTTTCCTACCCCTTCCCTTGGGACAGCGCATACAGCGCCTCCTGCAGGAAGCTCTTCCGATCTCAAGCAGGGCCTCCCTTGAGCTTTCCACCCTCTGGCTGTTATCTCTTAGCCCCAGCTTCCGCATCACTCCTCCCTGTCGCTGTGAGGTGAAATATTTGTCTGTGCTGGGAACCCTGATTCCATCACCTCTTTCAGGCAGTCCTCCGGTGACCCTCTCAGGTTGCATCGGGACCTGTCTGGACTCCTATCATGCCCTGGTTCTCCAACTCCTGATTACTCAACCTTAGGCTTTCCTCATTGCAGCTCTAATCACTCCGGGTCTCGCCTGTCTGATGATACAGTCTAGTCCGGTGTCATCGTCACCAGGTCTCCAGCATTGCGTCACAGTGCAAGGGCTCAATGAACGCTGAATTCGGGAAGGAATAAATCCCTTGCCTTCAACGAAAGGCTGGCAGGCAGAAAGTCACAGGTTTCTAAGAAACATGTCTCGTACACCAAGGCCCAGCAAAGTCCGAAGGTACTCAGACATCGTCTCTAAAATCCCTTACAAGGTGGCAGGAACTTCACCCCACGACTCGCCAGCGCCTGCACCGGATCAACGCAAACCCCGCCCCTTCCCGCCGTGGGGGTGGGCCCAGGTGCGCCATGGGCGGGGAAGCGACCTTCAGGTGTCCGCCCTCTGCGCCTGCGCCCTGAACGCCCCGCCCCGCCAGGTGCGCCCCGCCCCTCCGCTTGACTGCCACCTTCGAGCTGCTTCCGAGCGTCCGCCATTGGCTCAGGCGACCCCTGAGCACTGGGAGGTGTGGCGCGGCTGTAAGCCGGGGGCGAGGCTCTGGGTGTCCTCTGGGATTGAGGGGTGCGTAGGTGCAGCCTGAATCCTCGAGCGGAGAAGGGGTGTCCGCACCCCAGAGGTCGGAGAAGGGCCTTCCGGGGGCTTGGGCACCGCGCGGACCCTCGCGGGCTTCCAGCACCTGAACTCGCCGGCCTCCAGCACGCCTGCGCAGCCAGGGTCTTCCCGCACCTGATCGCGAGACCCCAACGGCTGGTGGCTCCCGGCTTCCTAGCCGGCGCGTCCGGTGGGGCCAGTCATGGCGCAGTTGTGTGGACAGTGGCGCGGCCAGGCGCTCCTCGTTCTGCTGGCGTCGTTGCTCTTTTCCGGGGCCGAGGCCACCGCCGGAAATCGTCGCATCCACGGTGAGGGCCCGGCAGGTATCCAAGGAATACTGGATAGTGGAGGCCGGGAGGGGCAGGATGTGGGGGGTGTCAAGTGAGTCTGAGCGGGAGAGTCGCGAGGGGCCATTGGGGACGATCTGGTGATGGTTAGGGCCTGTGGGAATTGAGCGTTGAGTGAGATTTGGGGTCCTCGGGAATGAGCAGCGGGCGCAGGAGCAAGGGTTAGGAATGTTTCCCAGGGGGAGAGAGCAGAGGAGCCGTGTTCGTCGAGAACGAGTGTCGAGAACTGTGGCAGGAGAGGGGAGAGGAACTTAACTGCGCACTCTTCCTGGCAGTGGAAAGTTACTTGACCGAAGAAAGCCCAGCGAGGCCAGGCCCCAGTGGGTGTGGCTTGGTGGCACATTAGGCCTCAGTAAAGAAGCCCCTTTTTCCCTGCCTAGGGTATTGGGCACCAGTTCCCAGAGAAACCTTTCTAATTTAGTTGGTGTTCAGAGGAAGGAAAAGAAAGGGGATGGGTGCAAGATGAGCATGCCTTGGTGTGAAAGTGTTGACACCCAGCGTCTGGGATTGGCTTCGTTTTGCTTATTCTGATTTTTGAGACAGGATTTTGTTATGTAGTTCATGCTGGTCTTGAACTCACTAAGTAGCCCCGGCGGCCTTGAACTCTGGATCCTCTTGCCTCAGCTTCCCAAGTGCTGTAATTACAGGCATAGGCCACCCACCCAGCTGGGATTACCTGCTTTAGACAAACACCAGAGGGATTTGAAGAGAGCTCCCTTGAAAGAAAACTTCATTGATTCAGGAGTAGTGTCTGCTGTATGTCAGGGGCTGTACTGGCGCTGGTGATAACAGTTGACTCAGACAAGTCAAGTTCCTGCATTCATAGAGTTTATATTCTATTGGGAGTGGCAGTTAAATGGACTTTTAAACAAAGAGCACATAATTAAATGACTAAGAGGTAAATAAACTGGGCAAAGTATAGAAGCAGGGTGATGGAAGATGATGGGGGCTGCTTAATTGAGGTGGTCAGGAGACCTCTCTGGGGAGGGTAACGTGAGAACCCTAACATGAAGAGTGAGGAGCAGCAGCTACACAAAGACACTGGGGGACCAGTATCCAGTTGGAGGTAAGGGAGTAAGAAAGCCTTGAGGCCGGAACAGGTGTGGTTGTGTTCAAGGAAGACAGATTGCCCAGGACTGGAGTAGAAAGTGAGGGAAGGAAAAATGGGAGGTGGAAAAAGTGGGCAGGAGCGAGGTGGCCAAGGGCTTTATGGGCCAGCATATTGGATGAAAAAGAGAGAAAGCAGGAAGGATGTGCCCGGTCATCCCCTGTGGGAACTTCTGGAGAATGGTTAATTGCCTGTGCCTGAGGGGGTGGGGAGGATGATTTGTTGGGGATGTCAATGGGGAAAGGCTTAGCTCCAGAGAATCTGGAACCAGGACTGCAAGAATTGAACCAGAGTTGCCAGCCCTTCTGTGCTTAACCTGATGAAGTCATTTATGTCAGGATAGTTGCCTGGCCTTTGACTATATCTGGTAACAGTTTACTCGGAGCCCAAATACAGCCTTTAATCTTTTTTTCTTTATTTAAGGAGAAAAAGAAAAAAACAGAAAAAGGGTACAAGTAATACAAAATTTAAAAAATAAACAGAAATCACTGGTTAATAGATTACATATTCTCATCTTAGAAATAGTTGTTCAAGTTACAAAATTGAAGAATATAAAGTGGACTTTCAAACAGTGAGAATGCAAACAGTTTTGTTCAATGATCCAAAAAAACTCAGTAATATGGTTATCTATCTTATACACTTAAACATATATACAGTTATAACCTTTATTTTTTTATTTTTCTCTTTTTACCAGTACCGGGGATCAAACTCATGACCGCCTGTTTGCAAGGCAGGTGCTTATGCCACTGAGCTAAATCCCCAGCCCCAGTTATAACTTTTTTTTTTTTTTGTCTTTTTGCTTTTTATCTGTACCGGGGATTGAACTCACGACTGTCTGCTTACAAGTCAGGCACTTATGCCGCGGAGCCAAATCCCCAGCCCTCCCCAGTTATAACCTTTAGAACACTTTCTTTTCTTTTGTACAATGATAATTACACATTTTGGGTTTTTTTTTTTTTTTTTTGTCTTTTCCCTTTTTATCGGTACCGGGGATCGAACTCACGACTGCCTGTTTACAAGGCAGGCACTTATGCCACTGAGCTAAATCCCCAGTCCCCCATTTTGGGTTTTATTACTCCCACAGTTCTTACTACTTTTTTTGAAGAGAGTAAAACCAAATGCAATATATCAACAGTCAGTCAAATCAAAAGGATGGACATAATAATGTAAAAACAAAATACAAGGTGATCAACAATGGTTACCATACTGCCTCTTGCTATTTTAAGAATTGCCAGTTATAATAAAATTGAACAAAACAGTAAAGAATAAAACCAAAGCATTGGAGACATAACAGGACTTTAAAAGAAGATAATAGTCAACCGGAATGAGTGTCAGAATGAATCTTATTGTCTTCACAGGTTTTTTTTTTGTCTTTTTCCTTTTTATCGGTACTGGGAATCGAACTCACGACTGCCTACTTGCAAGGCAGACGCTTATGCCGATGAGCTAAATCCCCAGCCCTGTCTTCACAGTTTTGCTTATACTTTCGAACTTGGTACTATCAAGCAAAGCAGAATAGGGGAAAATCAGTTAAAACAAGATGGTGAGGGCAATACAGGATTTCACATCAAATTAATAGGAAATCAAAGTAGGTTACTATAATGTATCCTGCTATTTTTTATTTATTTTTTCCTTAATTAAAAAGACAAAAAGAAAAAAGTAAATTTTTAAAAAAGGGATTGAGATAAAAGAGGGCATAACAACAGAACAGTGCAGGTCAAAACATAACCATTTAAGCAAAATAGTGTTTCACCACAAGATATCCTGACATAAAAATAGTTACCATAGTGTCTCGGAACCAATTAACAGAAAATGAACAATGGTTTCTGTATAATCTCCTTGTCTATAAAAGTTTTTTACTTATATTATCATATATAATAAAATCCAATAAGATACAACCTTTTAAGACTGATGGAGACAGAAGAATACAAGTTTGATGGGACTTCAAAACAAGATGATACTAAGTCAGCACTAGCTATTATGATGTCTTGTTTTCTCCAAAATAGCTGTTCCTACCATCTGATCTTCTCTGCCTCATTTCTGTGGAGCTCTTTTTCTGTCGTTTGTTGTCAGTTTGTCTTCTTCATTTTGCTTTCTGCTCCATTCATTGTGGCCTCTCTGCCACTATTTCTGGAATCTTGGTATTTTCCTTTTTTAGAATATCCTGCAGTATTCTCTGTAGAGTTGAGTTGGTGGTTGCAAATTCTCCTAGTTCCTCTTTATCCTGGAAGCACCTTATTTTTCCATCAATTTCTAGGGACAGTTGTACAGGATATATCAATCTTGACTGGAAGTTATTATCTTTCAAAGCTTGAATTATTTCCCCCCATGCTCTTTGTGATTTGATGGTTTGTGCCGAGAAGTCTGCTGTAATTCTCATGGGTGTTCCCTTGTAAGTGATCTCTTTCTTGTCTCTGACAGCTTTTAATATTCTGTTCTTATATTGGATTTCTGGAATTTTGATTATTATATGCCTAGGTTAGCTCTGTTGGGTTGTAGATGGCTGGGGTCTTGTATGCCTCATACATCTGAGTATCTTTACCATTTGCTAAATTAGGGAAATTCTCTTGGATTATTTCTGTGAATAGCTTTTGTAGTCCATTTGTTTGTGTCCCTACTTCTTTTTTTTTAACTTTTTATCGGTACGGGGATCAAACTCATAACCGCTTACTTGCAAGGCAGGTGCTTATGCCACTGAGCTAAATCCCCAGCTCCCCCTACTTCTTTTATGTTCTTAATTTTTAAGTTATGGATCCTCTTATCATCTTCTAGCCTTTGTATTCTTGCTGTTTGTTTTTTTGTTATTTTTAAGAAGTTTTTCATTTCATGCTTCCATATTACAAATCTGCCCTCCAGTTCAGATAATCTATCCTTAGTTTCTTTCAAGCTGTTATGCCAGTTTTTGATAGAGTTTTTAGTTTCCTGGTAATCTCTTTGAACCTGTTTCACATATTCTATGTTTTCTCTATTTTCTCCGTCAAACAATTCTCCCCTTTTTTTCTGTTCTTTCATTCCACCATCTGCTTTTTTTTTTCTTTTTTGTGTTTTTCCTTTTTATTGGTACCGGGGATCAAACTCACGACTGCCTGCTTACAAGGCAGGTGCTTATGCCACTGAGCTAAATCTCTAGCCCCACACCATCTGTTTTTTTCTTGGGTGGTGCTTAGCATTTCTCTAACTATTCTACTTATATCTTGCTTTAGGTCATTAATAACTTCATTCCTGAGCTCGTCTATGAGGCTCTGGAGATAGCGCTTTTATGTCTATTGGTGCCGTGTCTGATATTGCATGTTTCTCGAGATTGGGGGCCGAGGACCCTTTCTTGTTGCTCCCTCTTCCCATATTTTTTGTTCCTTTTATACAAGCGTATATAGGAGGCCCAGTTTCTTTCTTTGTTGGTTACAGTTTGTTTGAATTGCGCCGGCTAGGTGTTCCTGCCCACTGCAGTATACTAGGGAGACACAGACCTAGGCAGCCTATGCTGGGCCTGCCCTTCCAGGTCAACCTACTGAGGGCTTCACTGCTAGGGTGCACCTCTAGGCGCTGGGACCTGGTTTGGGCTAGCCTACTGGGTCTTAGTCACTGGCATCACGCAGGCCAGGCACTCCCCACTAATCCTGCTTGAGAGGGGAATATGTGACTGAAGTCACTGCAGCATCCTGTCCCGGCCAGCCCGCCGGGTCCCAGTATGGCCTTTACTGTAGCCTCCTACTCTATGGGAGGGTCCCCGATCCGCTCACTCACCACAGGTCGATGCAGGGCTCCCAGCCAGTCCCACTCTCAACTCCATTTACCGCTTCCCACTCTCAGAGCTTTCGCGCCTCTCTCCTTGCCATGCTGATTGGGACACAGCAGCGGCTGTAGGAAA